TTTTTTTGCATGGGCTTTTTTCATCAGTTCTGGCCCCAAACCTCTTCTGTGTATCCCCTGCTTTCTGTACACATTTTTGTCCCTTCGGTGTTCACTTCAGGTCTCTTGGGTTTTGTGCCCCTTCCCCCAGTTTGAAGAGATCTTTTCGGAGCTCTTCACAATCTCTCTTTGTCTTAGTAAAGGTAAAGGTTCCCTTCCTCGAAAGCCAGTCGAATCCGACTCTAGGGTTGCGGTGCTCATCTCCGTTTCAAAGCCGAAGAGCCAGAGCTGTCCGAAGATGTTTCCGTGGTCATGTGGCCGGCATCACCAAGGCGCACGGAACGCTGTTACCTTCCCACCGAAGTGGTACCTATTTATCTACTTGCAATTTCTTGCTTTCGAACTGCTAGGTTGGCAGGAGCTGGAACTAGAGACGGGAGCTCACTCTGTCATGCGGCACCCAGGTCTTGAACTGCTGAACTACTGACCTTCCACAGCCTGCAGTTCAGCGTCTTAACCACTTGAGCCACCGCAGCTCCTCTCTTTGTCTTAACCGTCCTATAATCATGTTTTCTCTCTGTCAAATTATAAGAAGTTAATAAAATCGGTATCATAAAGTTTATTCCCCCAAGATACAGGATAAAGCATTTAATTGTCAATCATCCTTGTCAATTTTCTCTAAATTCCCATTCAAATCATGAAAGAAACAACCATTGTTGTGGTGGAGGTTTTTGGTGTGCCTTTGTAGCTGTGTTGCCTCAGCGGCTACCATTCACTGGAAACTGGAGACGCAGTCCAAAATCAAGTCAAACAACAGAGCCGAAGGTCAGAAAGCCAGGAAGTCAGTCCAAGGTTGCATGAGCTAGGACCAGGGAGCGGATGCTACAAGCCAGGATCAGGTCCGAGCAGGCACAGTTGCTTCCGCACTGGGGCAGGTGCGTGGGGGTGTTTATGAGCAGGTCCTCCCTTCCCAGGGAGTCAGTCTAGCAAGACTCACAGCCCCTCACGTTGCCTTTGCAAGAGCTGAAGTCTGGCACTCTTCCTTCACTCTTGCACATCCAGCCGCTGGCGTGCCCTGCGTCTGGGACACTCAGGGGAACTAGGTGCGGATTCTGGCCTCGGGGTGTCTCCACTGAGGGGTGCTGGGCCAGGCTCTGGATCAGTGTCTCCCTCTGGCTGCACCTCCTGTGACGGTGCTGGGGCCTCTTCTCCCTCAGGGGCTGTTGGGGGTTCCTCGGCTGGGCTGACTCCAGAGGAGGCTGGGTTTGCTCCCTGCCTCTTCCTCATCTGAGGAGGAGTCCGCCTCAGCAGAGCCAGGACCCACGACAATCACATTTGTCGAACTGATAGAGTTCTTACACTGCTTTGAGCTTTCTGCTATCCCAAATCAGAACTTCTGAAAGAGAAACTGGTGGAGGGCTTTGCGGATCTCTTTGGTCTTGATGCTGTAGATGAGGGGGTTCAACACTGGAGGCACCAGGAGGTAGAGGTTGGCCATGAGGGCGTGCAGGAGAGGAGAAGCGTGCTTGCCGAAACGGTGTGCCATGGACACGCCGATCATTGGAGTATAATACACAAGAACGGCACAGATGTGGGAGACGCAGGTGTTCAGGGCCTTCAGGCGCCTTTCCTTGGAGGCAATGCCCAGCACCGTCTTGGCTATCATAATGTAGGACAGGACAATAAGGAGGGAGTCGAGCCCAAAAGTTGAAAGTACGACAAACAAGCCACAACGGCTGTTGACTGTGGTGTCGGCACAAGGGAGCCGGATCAAATTTGGGTGCAGGCAGTAGGGATGAGCTAGCAAGTTGGGCCCACAAAATGGCAGCCCCCTGAGGAGGATAGGCAAGGGGGTCATTAGGATAACACTCCTCAGAGCAATCCCCAAACCTATCATGGCGATCCGGGAGTTGGTCAGGATGGTGACATACTGGAGGGGGCTGTAGATGGCCACGAAGCGGTCAAAGGCCATGGCCCAGAGGACTCCCGAGTCCATGATGGAGAAGGAGTGGATGAAGAACATCTGGACGAGGCAGGCATCCATCCCGATCTCTCTGGCATCGAACAAGAAGACGCTCAGGACTGTGGGGAACGTAGAGATGGACACCCCCAGTTCAGTCACAGCCAGCATGGAGAGGAAGAAGTACATGGGCCTGTGGAGGCTTGGGACCGTCACGACCACAAGAAGAACAACGACGTTTCCCAAGATGGCGGCTATGTACATGGAGCAGAAAGGGATGGCAAGCCAGAGTCCTTTGTCTTCCAGGCCTGGGATGCCCGTCATGAGGAACGTGGGAGTGACAGAACTCTGGTTTTTGAGTGGCGTCACAAAGTGGAACATTCTCCCATCTATCACCTGCAGGTACAGAAAATGCCAGTCAACTCTGAAGTCGGGGGTGGAGGGCAATGTTACCTCTAAGCTGCGGAGTCTTGTGAGCAAAAATTCTACTTTGTGAGCCGCTGGCATTAAAGTTGTGAGCGAGGCATTTGGATACTGCATAAATCAGATTGCTCTTCTGGAACCATCCTCCCTGAGCTAAGACAAAAATGTGTGAGCTGGAGGCTAAAAAACTGAGCTAGCTCACACTAACTCAGCTTAGAGGGAACACTGGTGGAGGGTAGGGATTGGTTGTTTGATCCTGTGTAACAACCGTTGTGAGCTTCAGACATGCTGTAATGATGGAGATTCAGTGAAGGGATTTGGATCCTCTTGTCTATTCTTTTGAAAGGCACGCGAACATCTCAGGAGCAACTTCACGCTCTGACAGTTTCAAATCCTCTCCAAGCGTGACCACGCCTGTAAGCTTCCACCTGTCACTGAATTCTGCGTATTGTCAAGGCTGAATAAATTTAATATTTATTCCAAGTTCCTTTTATGTTGACGTATTTAGTGCACTTTCAGCTCACATTTCTCCATAGGTTAAAATGACCCCAAGAAATCATGGCATCATAGAGTTGGAAGGGACCTCCAGGGTCACCTAGTCCACCCCCCTGCACAATGGAGGAAGTTCACAAATACCTCCCCCCTCCACACCCTCAGTGACCCCTGCTCCATGCCCAGAAGATGACAAAAAAAAAAAAAACCCTCCAGGATCTCCAGCCAAACTGGCCTGGGGGGAAATGGGGGCCTGGCGATCAGGATTTCCCTGGGCGTGTCAGAAAGGGCCGTCCAGAATGATTCTCCCATGCTAATTTGTGTAATTTCAACAGTGTGACAGCTTTTCTCACTGTTAACGTTGCCATGAGCCTCTTGGTTGCAGGAGATCCCCTGCCCTTAGTGGACCTTGTCCACTGGCACTCATGTGGCTGTCAGGAGAAACAACAACAACAACAAAAAAAACACTGGTAACAATGTGATGTCACTTCCAGATGTTCTACGGAAGTGGTGTCACAGCTCTCTAGGAATTAGCAGAAATCAGCAGTAAAATCATAAAGTTTCTACTGATTCCTAGAAAGCTATGACATCGCTTCTGGGCTTCCCCAGAAGTAACATCACGTCAACGCTGTGGGTTGCCCCTCCATGTCATGGAATGTTAGAGTTGGAAGGGATCTTCCAGGTCATCTAGTCCAGCCCCCTGCACTCTGCAGGAGCACAGCCAAAAAGCCCTACAACATACCCGAAAGATGGGCATCCAGCCTCCACTTGAAAACGTCCCGAGGCAGATTGTTCCACTGCCCAACCACTCTTACAGTTAGGAAGTCTCTCCTGATATTTAGCCGGTAATCACTCCTTTGTAATTTCCTCCCATTAGATCTAGTCTTGCAATCTGGAGCAAGAGAGAATAGATCTGTTCCATCTTCTACATGACAGCCCTTCAGATACTTGAAGACTGCAATCATGTCCCCTCTAAGCCTTCTCTTTCCCAGGCTAAACACACCCAACTCCTTCAGTCTTGGAATCCAGACTTGGATTCCAACCCCCTCACCATCCTGATTGCCCTCTTCTGGACACGCTCGAGCTTGTCAACCTCCTTCCTCAAATGTGGTGCACAAAACTGGACACGGGACTCCAGGTGAGGCCTGACCAGAGCAGAATAGAGCGGAACGACCACCTCCCGTGATCTGGGCACGATGCTTCTGTTAATGCACCCTAGGACTGCATTAGCTTTCTTCGCAGTCACATCGAAGAATCTAAATGGAGCCTACAGATGCCGTCCTTAGGACATACTTGGGTGAGAACATTTCCGGGCTCTGTGGAGGTGGACGTCATCTATGCTACCCAAACAGCCAGGCTTTTGGTATCTCAGAGTCAGGAGCCAGGACCGTTGGGGGGAGGCTGGCTTCAGATCTGAAGAGTCAGTCGTCCTGTAGCCCATTCCAAAAGTACTGGTCTCCTCTGAGGCTTCGTAACTTTTGCCTCTCAGCCGTAATGCCCCACCTTATGGCACTGGTGCTGTATTATCACATACCGTGCTGGACAATAAAGAGAAGCCTGCTTCTTTCGCACTTCCTTCTCTGTCTCCTTCAGAAAAGGTCTCACCCACACTCAGATCAGGACCATCCTATCTGGAGTAAAAAAAATCCCACCGATAGGTTTCTAGCTTCCCATGTACCACCCTAACGGAACATGAAGCCTTGCTGGGATTGTCTGGGAAGCTGAGGAAAGTGTGCCACCACAGACCTCTGCTAGACATCAGCAATGTTCAAACGCTAAAGCACCGTGTGC